CATGCTCCTTTGCTACCAATATTTGGAACTGGGTTGTTTCATTATTTGGGTGCAGGTGGAATTTGCCCTCTGAAGTAAAGTTGTTGTTCACTCCGATTGCTTTTGGGAGATTAACAAAAGGAGGGAAGCTGATGTGGAAATGAAACAACCCAGTTCCAATTGGTCACTCCTGGTCCAAAAGATCCAGTCCGATGCTGCCGACTCCAATTGGTCACTTTAGGACGGGTTGGTACTATATAAACGTCAGGTACATCTTCCATCGGACTCCCCGTTGATTTCCGCCATCATCACCAGCATCCATAACTCCACCCATGAAGGCGTTCAGAAAACGCTACACCGCGTCCGGGCTGATTTCCATTGGCGAGGTAGGAAGACTTCTATTTGGGATTTTGTCCAAAATTGCTCCACGTGCCAACAGCATAAATGGGAAAACCTACACCCGGCAGGCCTCCTTCAGCCCCTTTCGATCCCGACATAGATCTAGGCCGACATCTCCATGGACTTCATTGAGGGACTTCCCAAGGTCGGTGGCAAATCAGTCCTCTTCGTGGTAGTAGATCGCTTCTCTAAATATGCCCACTTCATTCCTCTATCACATCCGTACAGTGCCACTTCAGTTGCCCTCGCCTTCTTTACACATGCTTTTCGCTTACATGGGTTACCAGAATCCATCGTCAGCGATAGGGACTTGGTTTTCACGAGTGCCTTCTGGAAGGAGTTATTTCGGCTGCACGACACCACCCGGGCTTTCTCCTCAGCTTATCATCCACAGACTGACGGGCAGACGGAGGTGGTCAACTGCACGATCGAGATGTATCTCCGTTGCTTCGTAGGGGATCAACCACGACGGTGGGTAGATTGGCTTCCTTGGGCCGAGTACTGTTACAACACGGCCTACCATTCTTCCCTCGGCATGACTCCCTTTCGCGTCGTTTATGGCCGGCACCCTCCTCGCTTGCTGTCCTATGAGCCCGGCTCTACTCGTTTGCAAGAAATTGATCACTCCTTACAAGAACGTGACGCCCTCCTAGCCGACGTCCATCTTCGCTTACAACAGGCCCAGCTCCGCATGAAACTCAGCTATGACAAGCACCACCGGGAACTGTCGTTCGAACCAAGACAATTTGTTTGGTTAAAACTCCAGCCCTACCGGCAACGATCCTTGCGCCACAGAGCTCCCCCAAAACTAGCCCCTAAGTTCTATGGGCCCTTCAAGGTTCTACGGCGGATTGGCAGTGTGGCCTACCAGCTGGAATTGCCGGAGAACAGCCGGATTCATGATGTTTTCCACATCTCCTTGCTGAAACCATTTACGGGTGTTCCTCCGGACCAAGTCCCCTCCTTGCCACCCTTAAAAGATGGCAAACTTGTTCCCCAGCCTAAGGCTCTCACCCGCTCTCGTTTCAATCGTGGAATCCTTGAAGTCTTGGTGGAATGGTGTAATTTATCATCAACAGAAGCCACATGGATCCCATTGGCAAAGTTCCAAGCCACGTATCCGGAGTTCGAGCTTGAGGACAAGCTCTTAGTCCAGGAGAGGAGTAATGTTATGGACGCATTCCTCGGGAAGAAGTATCATCGCCGCCGACAACAATGATTCAATGATTCAATGATTCTCAGCATACCTAGTTCGGCAACAGCAGTCTCATCTATATTAGATTAGATCATCTTGCTCTTATCTTATCTTATTAGTGGATTATCATATTAGGATTAACTTATCTTATCCTTAGCAAGATAGAACTGGAAGTCTCCCTATTCATGAAGGAAACTCCCTAAGATTAGGACTCTTGTAATCTCCTATTTAAGGAGACACCATTATTGAATGAAGATATCGAATATTCAGTTAAAGGAGTGAGTTAGGAGAGTTGGTGATCTCTTGAACAAATCACCAAGGCGCCAAGATAGGTTCATCAGGAGCAAGAAGGAACAAGGAAAAACAGAAGGTTTTCCTCGTGGACCGACCCGTGACGAGATCCTATTCCCGGGCCCTCAACATTCAGTTTCATCAGCTATAGGATAGGCATCAACATGCAAGGAATCATCTACTTTCTTTTCAACTTTGTACCTTCTACCCATTGACTTCAAGTTCTTTATTGTAACATGTTGCTTCTTCTTTTGCTCGAAATTAGTCAACTCCATATATAGATCATCATGGAAGTTTAGTGGGATGTACTTTTCATGCAAACACCTCTTCATCTCTGCCCATGTACTAATTGTATCATCACCGCTATTTTCTAGTCGTTGCTCAAGAGTTCTCCACCATACATTAGCATGACCCGTCAATTTCATGCGTGCAAATGTAATCCTTTGTTTGTCAGACATATCATACCAATCAAAATATTCTTCTAATTCAGCAACCCAATCAAAGAATGCTTGTGGATCATCATCTCCTTTGAAATCTGGTATTTCCCTTTCCCCTCTAACATGTTTGAAAACCTTACTCCCGTAGTTAACATTCTTAGATCTGTTTTCTTCCACAATATTCTCAAATAAGTCAACCAAAGACCCTTCATATGGTTCAGAAACCCAATCATCATTGATTCTAGACCTGTAAGATTGTTTAGAAGATACCCTAGGCCTATAGAATCGGTCACTTTGTGAGAACATAGTGAATAAACCATTAGCTCTAATACCAATTGATGTAGGACCAGCTCAGTTCTAGTCCTTAGGCTCCGTTTGGTTTGTGGGAAGATTTGGGTGGGATGAGAAAAGATGGGATGGGATGGGATGGGATGGGATGGGAAAGTGTAAAAGGGGACCGAAATGGCACTGTTCACCTTCCTCCTTCGTTCGAGACGAACAGAGGCGAGTAAGGCGATGGCTACCCCCTTCATCTCCCACCTCTCCCACTCCTCGTTTCAACCTCTCTGTTTATTCCCAATTGCCACTGTAACTTGTATGGCCTCGAGGCGACGTTGACATCGACGTTGAATGGTTGCGATCGGTGACGTTATTACCTGAACTTTCAAATGGTTGCAATCAGCAACATTGATTGCCACTGTAACTTCTTCTTCTTCATCTCGAATGATCTTCCCATAAGTTATTACCTGAACTTTTGAATGCTCGCGATCGGCGACGTTGACGTCGTTATCGCTGTTGCCTTCAGCATGGTCGTGTTCTTCAAACTCTGATGATGACGATCCCACTGGCATGGTTGTGATCTGACGTCACTGCCGCCTTACGGGAGGAGGGAAGAGGGAGATGGAAACTCGAGTTTTCTCAAGTTTTCACACCGAGGTCGCACTGTTTTGGTGCGACCCCGAATCCAAGATTTTGGGATCTCGCATCCCACCTTTTTCTCATCCCATCCCCCTCTTTCCCTCAAAACAAATATGAGAAAAAGGGAATATTTTTGGAATATTCCCTTTTTCTCATCCCCATCCCACAAACCAAACAGAGCCTTAGAGAATGTTGAATGGTCTTCTTGATCAGAGTTTTATGGTTGTCAATGGCTATAATGGCTTCTTCAAGGAATAAGAGAGAAAATAGGGAAAGAAAGAAAAGAGAAAATACCTAGAATCACTCACAAGATGCCTAGAATCACTTTAGGGCATGGGAATCACTCACCATAGCTAGCATAAGCTGAAGAAAACTCAACATAATTAATTGCCTTTGTGTAAAACGTCCATACATATTTATAGACTCTAAACTCATAATAATCCTAGGAGTCAAACTGTTAGACTCATAATAGTCTTAGGAGTCAAACTGTTAAACTCAATAACTGCTTCCCAAAGACTTGGTTGCCTTCACTCAGGAGCACATGTTGGTGAGGCTTTCTAGGCCTGAACTACCACTATTAGCAGCTCACTGCAAGCTCAATCCTCTTCCCCACCCCCCAAGCCAATTCTTCCCAGAAAAAAGGTTCCAGCCAGCAGCTTGGTTGTCTTAAGAACTGTTTCCCAAAGACTTGGGATCAAATCCTGCCTTCACTCAGGAAAACATGTTGGTGAAGCTTTCTAGGCTTGAACTACACTATTGGCAGCTCCCTGTAAGCTCAATACTCCCTCCCCCCAGCCAAATCTTCCCAGAAAAAAAAGGTAAAAATCTGTAAGAAGTTAAACCATGCCCCTTCATTAATGATTCCGGGCAACAAGGTTTTAAGACCCAAAAGCAAGGCAATGAATTAAGATTCATTAAGATCAGCAATCCCAAATGTATTTGTTTTGCCTCAGAAATCAAAAATTTCTTTTCATCAAAAATCCCCCATAACTTCAAGACCTCAGGTGGCATGCTTCCATAGCTCCGCACTCTTTCTGTCTCAACTCCATTAAAAATGCTCATACTACCGTTATTTATTCCCAAGTATTAACCTTCACATTCTAAAAAGGCGATGTCATATTAAATATTTATTTATCGTCCATGCATCTTGTGCATGTCAGCATGCTAAGCCTCATGATCAATCAAAAGTTTATCTTCAATCAAGCGTTAATAGACATACTGAGTTCTTTGGTGCTATCATACATGGATAGCGCATTCACAGTAGGAAGAATGCAGAAGGGTCAAATTAAATAAAAGCAAATGAATGCTATTGAAACTCACTAATAAAAAAGGACTTACTGAGGCCCAATAACTCAATCTTTCACAACATAAGGAGTTGACTTGGGAAGCAATTTGACACCACGTGAATGGGTAACTCTTGATTTTGGCTTTACTTCGTCATTATACTGGATAAATTATATGAATGCTATTGAAAAATATATTCACTTCCCTTTTTCTTTTTTTGAAAAAAAAATAACAAAATTACTACTTCTCAAAAAAAAAAAACCAAAATTACCCCATTTCAAACCAAATTTCATGCAGAAACTGCAAGATGAACAATTTCTCAAAGCAGATTCCAAAAGGCCTCGCTAGAAGAAGGCAAAAGTTCTTAATAGAACAACCAAAAATGTCGAATTGTGTTCATTAGCCGAGCAGACAGAAATCAGCTTCTTCTGATGCCAACATCTTTCGCTCCACAAAAATCAAAATCAATGATTAACATTATCTCAATAGAAACTTACAGAATTCGACGATGCACCGGTTTCAATCCATCTCGAACATCAGGTAATGCTCGACCAAGCAAAACCGACATGGCATACGCCATATAAGCTTCAGTAGCCTCCTTGTGAAGCTCTGCCGGAATAACCCTTCCTTCCTCGACATCCTTCTCCCTAACAAGCAAGTTCCCATTCTCGCCACCTCCCTTGCCCTTCTCCACTGTCTCTGACCCTTCTCTGCGCCTCGCTCTCACTAGCTTTACCGACCGTGGAGGGACGTCGGAGAGGAAACGGTGCTCCAAGAAACATTGGCGCGACCTGGTAAATCGGCAAGAGCTAGAAGCAACGGAAAATGAGAATTGATAACGCAATAAAGAAGAGGCGGTTGAACGAAGTCCCGAAGATAACGCCATGGATGGGCTAAAACGAGCTTCTGCACTTCCGCCGAACGAGGGTATCATTCGGTAGTCAATGTGGCTTTGGACCTTTGGTCGACATCGAGGGCTAATCGCCTCGCATGCAAGCGAAATGAGGAACAAATGTGTGTCCACGGGTTTATCGTTATGGCGTCTTGATAAGAATGAAAGACAGTAAAACCCTAAAACGGCTAAAACCCTTGACAGATTATGCGCGCGAAGTTCCACTGTCCACTGTGATATTTCTTTCCTTCCCGCTCGATTACGAACAATTTTAAAACCGACCCGGATGCCGAATCTTTTTATCTCAGGGTAGCGGATTATCGGCTCGAACGTTTAGGTAGGATTTTTATTGTTGAATAGTAATGGGTGGGGTAATGAATCACACCTTTAGGTAGGATTTTGAGAGTTCAAATCAGCCCCTACAACATCCCACAGCACATTCATTCAGCCGTATATTGGGAACATTTCCCGATAATGACATCATCATTCTAAGTATTATTCTCGCGATATGTTTCTAATACCGGGCAGGGATGTGTTAAGGGACGTTGTGGGGGTTGATTCAGTCTCATTTCTTTATTGTTGAACTAGTGGAGACCGGTGTGATGCACGAAAAAATCTAAAAGATTTAATAATTTTATTTATTATTAATTAATATTATATTAATAATCAAAATTTGGTGTAAATTAACTATAAGTATTTAAAGTTATTGTTAATATCTAAAATTTTAATAATTGTATTTTCATTTAATGTTGATTTATAGAAAATAATTATTGTTAATTTAATATGAACAAATACTTTTTAATAAATTTAGTTCTATTAATAATTTATAGTAATTTTAATAATTGTTATTATTTTTAAATTAAATTTTTATTAACTTTAAATAATTATAAATAAAAATATTTATAAAAGCTAACATTTTTATTAATTTCACTAATAATTAACAATTATATAGGAATGACAACAGGGTGGGTACCCTAACAATTATATATGAGAGATCCATTTTTTAAAAAATGAAAAAGATTAAATTTTTATTTAATATGATTTTCAATGTATACAATTGTTTATATATACAATTATACCTATTCAAGGGTCGGATACCCTAACGGCCCAGCCCGACCTGACCCGTTATTTTTCAGGCTTGGACAAAATTTCAGGCTCGTGGACTCAAGCTCGAGCTTTCTCAAATAAAACGGCCCGATACTATTACATATATATAAAAATACTTATATATATATATATATATATATATATATATATATATATATATATGTGTGTGTGTGTGTGTGTACTTCCTAAATTATTAATAAATATTAGTTTACTATTGTGAAATATAAATTACTTCATTAATCTATTAAATTATTACTAAATTAATATAATATTAGTTTAAAAAAGTATATTGAAAATAAGACATTTTGTGTACAGATCCAGCTTCGGGCTCGGGCTCGAGCTTTGAGCTTTATATAAGGGTTGGGCTCAAGCTCAAGATCTAGGCCCAATGGTCGGGCCGGGCTTAGGCTTGGGCTTGCACATTTTCTATTGATAAAGAGGCTCGTGTTAATTATAAAACGATGATTTTTTACAATAAAACTTTTATTTAATTATAATAGTATAAATATATATATAACATTTCTCTATATATTAATATAAAATTTGTTATTTAAATATTATATAATAATATTTACCATATATGCGTATAACCTCCAAGTTAAACTTATCAAGGGTTGTTTAGCTTGGTCCTGTCTGCTAAAATCATCATTGGACTCTAAAAGTTTTATACCCAATTAGACTTCATATCAGATTATCCTTGATAATGTGTGGGAATGGTGCTCATCTCACCTAGACCTAACTCAAAAGAAAATAGTTGCTTGATCTTGCAAATTTATAGATCTAATCGGGTTAGGTTAAGTTATAAACAATTTGTTACTTTTTATTATTAACTATTAAAATATTGTTTGCTATTAAAATATTGTAATTATTAAATTACTATATTTATTTAAAATACAGTATTTTATGAAAATTATCATATTTCATAAGTATTGCTAATTTATTGGCTAAAACTAATTAAATGTAATTTTCTACTATTTATAGCTTAAATTATAATTACTGTTAATTATAGTTTAAATTATTGCAATTTTAGTGATCCAAATTAGCAAATAATTTGGATTTCACCATTTAGTGATCCAAATAATTCAAAATCAATAGATAATTTCACCACAATTCAAGCACCATAATCAATTGATATCACTAATACATAAATGGACCACAATCAGTCATTTTCAATAAATTTTAATTATTAATTTTTTAGTAATTTTTTATCCGAATAATTATTTAATCCTTGACAAATATTGATTGATCATTTCATAAAAATATGTAAATCAAATGACTAAAAATCAATAACTAAGTTTCAAAATTATATTAAATTATTTTCAAATATTATATGTAATTGATTTTTACTAAAATTAATTTCCACTGAAAATTATTGAAAATTTTCAATAATTACTGAAACATTAATAAGCATCTAAAAATTATTCTCAATCATTGTTGAACTTAAGGTTTTAATAAATTTCTGAAAATTTTCAAAAATTACTGAAATTATATTTTAACATTCTGAAAAATATCAATTTTCAATACTACTAGAACTCTTTCACAAATATTTAGTGGAAAATTATTTTAGTTATATTTTTTCATTTTCAGTAACTTTAAAATTAATAAATAATTAATGGAAACATTAAAATAAATAATAAATATTAAAATAACTAATTAATGAAAATATCAATAAATTGAATATTATTTAATAAGTATCTCAAATTTGTTTTTAATTATTTCTGAGAATATTTAAATAATTTGATATCACTAAATATTTTTAATAAGTATCCCAAAAATATTTTCAAAATTTACTGAAATTTTCATTTTTAACATTTTAAAAAATATTAGTGTTAAAATTAATTTATTTTTTGCATTTTTTGTTAATTTTAAAGGCAATAATAAATATTAAAATAACTAATTAATGAAAATAGCTAATTAATTAGTAGAGATATTAAAAAGAAAAATATTAAACCCCAAAGCATTTAAAAATTCATAGAAATTAAAACTCAATTACAACGACAAGCATATAGGTTAAAGAAGAGAAGAGAGATATGAAAGCATACTTGGGAGGTTTCCCATTTATAATTTATTTATAAATAATTATTTGGGTTGTGTTGTGTGGTGGTGAGTGTGTTCTACTATTTTTTTCTCTTATCTCCTTGCTTTACTTTCCTTCTCTTTCTTAGCGTGTTCACTCGGTTCGGTGGGAGAAAGAGAAAGGGGGTGTATGAAGAGATGCTGAAAAAGCAAGAGATGAATGTCACTTTATTATTTAATAAAATTCATTACAATTATGCCCCTTATCACTATGGCTCTAATCTTTGTAATTACTGCTAAATAAAGTGTTTTTCTTCCAAATTTGGATGTTTAATGGTCTTCTCCTAAAAATAGTAAATTGTCAATTACATGTTAACAATTTAACAATATGTTAAACTTGAAAACAGAAATTAGACTAAAAGGGTTTGAAGTTTTATATTCAGATCATCATCTTTTATTCATTGTTATTAATTAATTAACCAAAAGATTGTAGATTATAAGAAATTTTGAGAAATACCTAGGCTGCTCAACCAGAAACCCAAATTGATCATCTCTCAGCCTGAAAAGCTTTTTTAATTCAAGATCTACTACTTTCATTTTCTTTTCTGCCATAACTTCTTGTTTCAACACAATCTAAATTAATTCATTAGATAAAAAATAACTGTTGAATTTCTGCAATTTCCTTATGTATAAAAGAATAATAATAAAGCTACATTAGAGACATAACCCGACCATATCATAAAATTTATGAAACTGAAGAGAGAGGGAGGAAAGAAGGAAAGATCTTATTCTATAAAACATTGGATGTCATTAAAGAACTAATGGTCTCATATTTTGCATGTCAGTAAAGATCCCATTAAGGAAGCATAGAAAGAGGGGGAGGAAAGAAGGAAGAGAATTCAAAATATAAACAAATAAAGAAATGCTAAAAGAAGCAAATCTTAAGTAAATCCTTGTGTTCTACCATTTTTCAATGCCGCTTAGATCCAAAGAGGCTTATGCCCACCGACTACATACACAGAATTTAAACTACGTATTTATTGACTTCTTAAAATTAGAAGAGGTATCCCATCTTATGGAGTTTGAGGCTATGAGTTGTGTTGATGGAAAAGTTGCATTTTAAGTATGCAAATTTCCAAAACACCATTACAGTGAGAATGTTGACCTACAAAGTTAGGTTCTAATTAATAACTGGATAGAGGACAAATCCAATGATAGCAATCAATCTTATTTAATATTTACAATTCAAGGTTTAATTCAAGCCTTGCTACTCATCCTTTTTCCGTGGCAATCTTGATAAGTTGGCCTACATCTTTCTAATGAATACCTGAAACCCCAAGTCCATTAAAAGAAGCAAATATTAAGTAGATCCCAGTGTTATATCATTTTCTTTCATTTCTACTTCAAGCAAGGCAATGATGGCATTATCTCTGATGGAGGGAGGCTTCAAGGTAGGAGTCGACCCACACAAATATACATCATGAATTTCAGAGAACCATTCTACGATAGTTTACCTACAAAACCAAATTAAATTAAATAAATTTATATAGAGAGAAATAGAACGGGGCGAAAGAAGAAGGGCGGAGCCCCTGTTTTAACATCCAACAATGAAAATTCTATCTATTAGACTGTAACCCACCTCAGTTAAACCTGTTATAGAACATAAATCGAATCTACAATTTTAACTTCAAAACCAAACTATTTTGACATCCAAAAGAAGGGCGGAGCCCCTGTTTTGACGTCCAAAATAACAATGAAAATATTGTCTAGAAGTCACATCAGCTGACCTGTTACAAAACTAATCCCCCATAGAGCTTGATTGTTGAAAAACCCAAACAAATATTTGAAAGAGAAGACGGAGTGGGGCTTGATTGTAAGAACATAATAACATGGGATGATAGTCGGTCCCAAATTTATTCGACTCTACTTCTACCCAGTTTCCTATTCTGGTATCGGCAAAACTAAAGCTTTCTTTAACGTCTCCGCTGGTCCTTACACTCTACTAAGTAATTTCAGTGCCTTCCTTATAACGGAGGCTCTCAAAACAACTTCCTTGGTCAAAGAATTCTCTATCAACATAGAGAACCTGAGCTTATTAGAAATCATATTCACGCCAACTCCTAATACCTTTGAGGCGTACGGTTTTGTGAATGGAATTAAGATTCTTTACATGCCTGATGATCTTTATGTAAGAGGTGAGCAAATTTCTATTCCTTTAGTTGGTCAA